AGTGTATAGGAAGTGGGAACAAAAAGATGTTGTATACCAACGCTGTATCTTATTTATTAGGAGAAACTCCAGAAGAATGTTTATATTGAATATTCATTTATGTACCTCCACAGTATTAAAGAGACCCGTGACTGCTGATGAGCTTTTGATGCCTGGAGCCCCATACGTAAGAAAAACTTTTACGGTATGTCTCCAGTATTTTTCTTTATTTTCTGCATGTTGTATGCATAAGGTAATCCAAACAGACATTCTCTGATGGGATAATTAGGGCTTATTTGCATTTGCTAAGGGTTGTACTTTAAAATCCCAAACTCCGTTATCAGTACTTCCACACATTTGAGGTCTGATTCTGCACTTGTTTATCCTGTCTTTATGCCAATGTAGTACTGCTGACTTAAATGGAGTGTAAAATTACATAAAGCCAATAACATTTGTATTACACAAACTCATCTAGACTTTGTGCTTCTGGTAGTATGTGCACTGCAGGAGTGGATTACCTGCCCAAATTGAAGTTTTCTACTTAGGACTATCTAGACTATGATGGGACATAAATTTTGATTCATATTCACTATTAGAGACAGCCTGTCTGTAAAGACCTTTTTTAACCTAGTCATTGGAAGCATTGCTTCTTACAGCCTCCTAGTTCGACAAAAAGAGTTCATTAAAAGCAAGAGGAGTCATTTGGATAGAACCTTTCCCATGAGTGATCCAGCAGCCTCTACACAACATCCTTTACTATGTGTTGGAAGTATAGAGATGTTGAAATTATGCCTTGAACCATTTAGATGTTATCCGCTTGAATTTCACCGAGCTGCTTGAAGGTGATCACGTCCTTCTTCTCTCTTTCCAGATCGTCGGCGACGCGGTGGGCTGGGGCTTTGTGGTGCGGGGGAGCAAGCCCTGCCACATCCAGGCCGTGGACCCCAGCGGGCCGGCAGCTGCGGCTGGGATGAAGGTGGGTTTTCAATTTGGGACGATTTGCCGGAGGTATTTGTGCTGCTCGTGAAGGTCTTGGGCTGCCCGTGCTTGGGGAGGGAGAGGTGCTTTTGTCTCCAGGATTATCTCTGTCTCAGTTTCAGGCATTTGTGCCCAGTGAGTTCTGCTGCCTCTCACCCCCCTCCTCTGTCTTTTCTTCTGTCCTTGAGATTCTTCAAGTCCCTTTTCCACATGAAACTCATTTATCCTTTCCAAGTTGCTTTCTTGATCCTTTCCCTTTTTTGGTTGTTTTGGGGGTATTTTTGTTTGTTTGGGGTTTGGTTTTTGTTTTGTTTTGGGTTGGTTTTTTTTGTTGTTGTTGGTTGGCTGCTTTTGGTGGTGGTGATGTTTTGGTTTTGGGGTTTGGGTTTTTTTTGTATTTTCACCTTTTTCCAACTCTGCACAATTTTAGCTTCCCTCTTTGCAATTTATGTGGCTGCTGGTACACAGCTTCTGGACTTTGCCTATATAGGAAGAGGCAAAGGGCAAAGTCAGACACCTATTGCAAGCGAAGCTAGCATAACCCATTGTTCACTGTAAGGCAGCTAAGATTCGAAACATTTTGGAAAGAGGAATGTATGATACTTTCATATTTCATAAAGAGTTGAAATAGTTTCATACATGATTTAAGAATAAATAAATACAAATTCCACGTGAAGGCTTTTGTACTGCTAATGCAGAGCCTATGGACTTACCTGCAGGTTTGGATCACATCCTGCATATATCTGTGAATTAATCACTGTCTTGTACTGTGGGGAAAATAAAAGCAAAGCATTATGCCAATTACAGATAAAAGCAAGAAGGGGAAACTAGCTGCTACACCTACTCCAATGTCCAGGCTGGGCCAGACACAAAGATTAAATTATCAGCTTATGTCATGTTTTATTGTACGGTAACAACACAGATGAAGGTTTCAGATGTATTCCACATGCAGCCTAGTTTGCCACAGATTTTGTCCTGCCTTCTGACTCGTCTCCCTTTCCCATCACACTCAGCCAGGTGTCTCTCACCCATATATTCACACCCACCAAGCTAGAGGCAGCGTGCGCTGCCACGACTCCAGGGATGCGATCCTGCCCACCGCCTGATGCCAGACCTGCCGTGGCACCCTCCTTAGCAACTGCAATACAAGGGTTTCGCATCTCCTGCTGCTGGGCTGGTTTGGGGTTTTTTTAAATGAAACTTGCAAGAATGTCCTGTCTTTGAAACATTTACTTTTTTTTGAGTATGGGCAGGCAAACCTCAGGGAAGGGGAACGGCAGCTGCAGAGCCTGTTGGTGCATGCAGCACCCTGACACATCCTGCTGGCAAACAGCTTGATTCATGAGGGAGCTGGAATTTTTTTATATGTTTCATACAATACCTAAATATAATATACAGTTTCAATTTTTATATGATGAGTATAATTTCCAAATAATAATCCTGCTTAAAATTTAAGGGACTTAAATTTAAAAATAATGAATTTATTCATTTATATGTTCTAGATCCTGAACTTGGGAGTTTAGTACTTTGCAGCATCTTTTACTCTCTGAATATAGCAGCTAGCAATAAAGTAGATCTATTCTGAAACCTGACTTGTAAAAATAACACTGTGGTGTCATATGTATAATCTTAGAGATTTCACTTCTGCACTCAGGAGCTTAGAGCTGAATATGGTGGGGCTTTGGTTTGTTCTTACTTTTGGTTTCATGCTGACAGCCCTGTGTCTACACAGTAGGGCATTCGGTTCTTTCATACTTCACCTCTGAAACTGGTTTTATGGACCAAATGATGTCCTCGTGTCTTCCATGTGTTCATGTACTCTGATGGGGTTACAGAGGTTTACCTAAACCATTTAAGACATAGGAATGTAAAATAGTCTGCTGTGCTGAGGGGAGCAAACAGTCTTTTTAGGCAGTAAAACTGGGATCTGTTGCCTTGCATTTGCACAAAGGACAAATCTGATTATTTACAAAGATGCTATCTTTATATAACATCGCTTTTCAGAGCAGAATTGCACATAAAACATTATGGCCATATATTAGTAGGGTCCCCGTTTAGACACCAAAATTGTCACTCCGGTTTCAGAAATGCTGAATTCCTCTGGTGAAGAAATGCCAGTTTTCTTTGAAAATAAGGGGCTTTGTTGAGGTATTCCCATGGCAATAGGTATGTAAATTATAGTGCAGTATTTGAAATTTTTAAAAATCTATGTCACTTAATCCATCTGTTTACAGAATTCTTCAATCTGGCAAATTTAAAGGAATCGTATGACAGGCTTTAGATGACAGCTCCTTGAAAATAAACCTTCCCCTGTGTGGAAGCTGCAGGAGGGGCACTTTGAAAATAGACTGTTGGGCACGGTAACTTCTGGTGGGTTGGTGCAAGAGGCGTTTGTCTGCCAGCGTTGCTCTGAGTGCTACACCAAAGAAGCGCTAACAAGGAAAGTTGGCTATGATGAAAAGGGCAAGAATTTGAGGAAGAGCCAAGACTTGGCGTTGCAGTTTGTAGAGAAGTTCTTGGCAGTAGCAGCAGGGTTTTTCCTGCTAAGGAGATGTATCCAGTGTAATCATTTTTGGAAGTGTCTTTATTTGTAAAGCTTGTGATTTTACGCTTATCTCTCTTGAAGAAGACTATATTCCCATCTCTGCATTACACTGGACAAATTGTTGCAAGAGGACTGCTGCCTACAATCTCATTGTAGGAGCTCACTTTGTGCGCTTGAAACTCTATCACATATTATATAAAGCGGTAAAGATTACAGGCTCAACCTACCTGAAGGGCTTTGTGAGGTCTTGCTTTCAGTCGGACCTTGGCAGGGTTCCTGGCTGGCTCCAAGGCGCTGTGAATTTGGGAGTCTGAGGAGAAATCTCAATGAGCCTGGGACAGAGCTCTGGCCACACGCAGCAACTGTGTGGTGGGCACGGCGCTGGGCGCCTGGGATGCACGGGTCTCCGTCGCACACGTGCACCTCTGCATGGCAGTGCTTGCCATCTCATTATACATCCTCTTCTGGAGGAATTTTCAATTTAATTGTGAAAAAATCCCTACTAGCATGGTCTGCGGAAGACGTGTGAGAGGGTGTAATGGTTTTGGCTTCAAGTCTTCTGGGGCTGGTAAACAGGATTACCATTTACACTCTGAGGTTTCAAGTATGAATCCAAGCAAACAATTTAATAAATATCTTGTCAATTAGCTTTATTAAAGTATTTTTAGACCTGGTTTGTTGAAGTGCGGTTGCCTGTGACAGCGTTGTGAAGAGCGTGGTTGCTGTAAGCACATTAACGAGTGGGAGCTGGAGGCGACACGGGGCTATGAAAGGAGTCAGTGTTGCGATGCGTACTTCTAAGTTATTTGCAGCTCTGTTTTGCTGTCTGCTGTCATCAGCAGTGGAAGACAAGAACAGCAGGATTTTGAAGTTCCCAGGTTGCTTTAATATTCAGTACTGACTGGCTGCAAAATTCAGGTCTCTGCAGATGACACTGCTAAATGTTTCCACTTGTTGTCAGGGTAATGCTTTTCCCCCTTTTTCAGTGTTTTATTCTGTAAGTTAATTTCTGGTTTTAAGGTACAAGTATTCTTTGAAAAGTTACGCAACTTGACTTCAAACTAATGACTTAAATTATGCTTCACATGTTGTTATTTAGTGTGACATCACTGCAACAGTGACATCACTGCAACAAAACAGGCAGACCTAGCTTACTGTGAGGCTTGTGAAGGAAACAAATTAATCACCCATTTTGCCGATTATCTGTTCTTCCCTTTGGCTGGACAAGTCAGTGCCCAGCTCTAACTATTGAGGAATGCTAAAGAGTATCTCATTCCCTAAACTGATTTTGAGCAAATTAGTATTTATAGCTGTTACACCTAAGGTCTTTGTTTCATAGAAATTGCCAACAGCCACTCAAGCTTTTCTACCCTTTTCTAATTCTTCCTCCTTTCCATGAGTAGCAGGGATTTTGGGGGACCACGCATGATCACTGGTACCAACCCCTTCCGAGCTCTGCCTGGGGATTATGGTATACACCCAGGATCATTTCAGTGTGGTTCTGCTCTCCTTCTGATCTTTAAAAGCTGGTGCAGGGAGGAGGTCAGCCTCATAAATTTTCTGCCTGTGCCATCATCTTCTGCATTGACAAATTATTATTTCAGGTCCAGGTTCTCAAATGATGAAGAGCCAAATCTCAAGTGTAATTGAGTAGCCACTGTTTCATGGAGTGGATTATCAGGCCATTGAGGTCATCAAGCCCAGTCTCCCTGCAATCAGAGGAACCTAAGTACCATCTGATTAGTCCTCAAAGTCCAAATACCGCCACAGTCACAAAATATTACAGGCTTGTAACATAAAGGACTGAAAACTATGCATTATAAGGTGCCAAGTGGGGGAAAAAGCAACCCAAGAGCATGTGATGGCAGAGGAATTGCCAGTGCCTTCAGTTTCTGCAGTAGGAAGAATTTGAACTGTGAAATTCTCGGGAGGCTGAACCATGCTGCAGGGAAATGCAAAACCCACTCCATGGTCCTTGCCAATCTGACCTCAAAACTGGTGATTGCTCAACTGTTTGACAAGCAAGATAAAATCCTAAATAAAATAGATTATTCACCCAGGAAAAAATATCCCATTTATGGCTGTGGCAAATCTCCAATGTTTTATAGGATAGTGGGAAAAGTAGAAAAGCTAAAGGCAGCCTAGTAGGAGCTTAAAGACTGGGATTTATATTATATAAATAAGGCACAACAAACATGCCTCTGTTTAACCTTTTCCATGAAGCTTAGGAAAGGGAAGTTCCCTCAGTGTTTTGTGCTGGCACTCTAACTCTTCAGAGCACTGGGGAGATGCTCCAGTGCTAATTGAAGGTATCCGAAGGGGACTTTCACTATTTTTTTTCTTTCCTGTGACTGAGCTTTAAATGAGAAGATGAAGGAGGTTTGGATAAATATTTATACTGTGCACTAGCATATGGTGTTGTTGAAGCAGATGCAATTCAGTCTTAGAATTCT